AAAAAAAAAAAAAAAAAAAAAAAAAAAAAAAAAAAATTAAATTGAGGGAGCCAGGGATTTAGCCCAGTGGTGCCACTGATAGGGAAAACTTTTATAAATAGCAAAACCTAGCTGGGCATGGTGGCACACATGCCTGTAATCCCAGCACTCGGGAGGCTGAGGCAGGAGGATTGCTGCGAGGAGATCAGGCTAGGCTACATAGTGAGTTCTAGGTCAGTCTCAACTACATAGTGAGACCCTGTCTCAAAATAAATAAATAAATAAATAAATAAATAAATAGCTAAACCTATAAAGTGTTACAATGTAAAAATGGCTTCCACTGTCTCTAACAGCACTTTGTTTTGTTTAGCTCAAAACTCATAGGCCCCGAAGGCACTAACTGCTGAATGAGGCATTTGGTCTGATCCCGAGATAACAGTCAAGGTCCTGAACTCTGATGAGACTGGAGCCACCTGATCGTAGGAGTGTCTAGATGAAAGAACCCATGACTAACATTCGCTCCCCTGACCCTGAACACCCCCTTCCTATGGACTAGAATAGATAACTAGGCGAATCTTAAAGGTAAACTCCCCAACTGCAAAGAACTGTTATGTCTGGGTTGAAAAGATTAACTATTCCGTGACCGTGATTTGAACTATGAGAATGAAATGTAACCACCAGAATGAAGTCAAGGCCCCATAAAAGGAGGAGTTGTAACCCAGTGTGTCGTTGATCCAGGCACAGCTTATGTGTGATCAACCCTTATCGATGAGTAAATTTATTATTTTACTTCCATTCTGCTGCCTCTGTGTGTCACTTACTGATTCCTTCTGTAACACCACCACCTGCTTTGCAAGCACAAGGTCCCAAGTTTGATCCCCAGTACTAAAATAAAATAAAATAAAATGAGGGACTGGGGATCTAGCTCAGTGGTGCTATGCCTGCCTCACAAGTGCAAGGTCTTGTGTTTGATACCTGGTACCAGAGAAAAAAATTAAAATGAGTGACAAATAGAATGGGTGGTTGGCCAGAACATGAGTGATTTTTTTTTCTACTTAAATCTTTTTTTAAACCTCAAACTTCCAAAGTTATTCTGGTCTCTATATTAATTTCTATCTTTGATAAAGCCATTTGATTATTACCTTTCAATCCTTCAATAAAAGTATCCCAAATACAGGGGCTGCTAGCATAACTAAGCTTGATGCTCTCTTTTGCTCTTTTCAAATCCAAGAGAAAAAAGTACTTCTTTAGGAACTGACAAGCCAGAATTTCAGGCGAGCACTGTTGCCAAGTGTGGTCTGCATGTCCATCCGTGCTTTTGATAGCAGAATTCAATACATTCAATTCCAAACACAGTGCTGTCAACTCAGCCAGGTCCTTCTGAAGATTGGTTGGTAGAGGGCATGGAGAACACACTCGAAAAAGGTCATCTGAGGGCTCCCTTGAACTACTTATGGATTCACACGCTGTTGGGTCAACTGTTTCTTCATTGTCTAAAAAGTCCCTTTTTTCTCCATTATCTTCATCTAATATTCTCTTTTCTGACTCATCCTGATTTAGTTTCACAGGTAAGTTGCCAGTATCTGAAGTGCCTGGAAAGTCCACTGTGGCAAATGTTCTTTCTAAGTGTGAAAGCCACTCTTGTAAAACCACTCTCAGAGACTGGGGTTCAAACAAAACCAAAGGGTCCAGCAGCTTGGTCCTGTGCAAGACAAGTAAGGCGAAATTTAGATTTCATGTATTTTTTTAAAATAAATTACTGCATGCTAAACAAACTTAACTGATAAAACATACTCATTTTAGCAAGATCATAAAATAGAAAACACTGATTTTCCAGTTTGTTACTAATTCTTGAATTTCAATTGCAAATGAGGCCATCTCTGTCCCAGACTTGGGACCACTACTGATGATGTCCGAAGGGTACCCCACTCTCACTATAAAACTCTGATCCACACTCACATTGCTTCTGCTGTTGCCGCTGTGAGCTCTTGCAACCTGTCTTCTTTTGAGGGTTGGCTAGTGACTTCTTTTTTCTCTCTAGAAAAATGTGAAAAATAATAACAATATTCACACGAGTTACCAGGGAACTTTCTCTCTCTCTCTTTTTTTTTTTTTGGTACTGGGGATCAAACTTGGGACATTGCACTTGTGAGGCAGGCAGCAGAATTGCTGAGCTAAATCCCCAGCCCCAGAACTTTCTTAGATAAACATTTCTACACACTATTACTAGTTGGTAGGTATTGTATTTCATGTTGCATGTTACATTGCCTAAAGGGGTCCTTTTTATCTTTCTCATTATCCTAATATTCTTTTTATTGACTCACAAAACAATACCATCTCCCTGATCTTACAAGTCAGAGAGCATTGATGACTTGAAGTTACATGCTAGTCAGAAGCAGGGTTAGCACAAGGTCTAGAGCCCTGGTCAGCTACTCTAAATCTAACACTTCACCTTCTTGGAAATCTGCCAAAATTATGCCTGAGGGAGGAGGGTTACGCAGGAGAAAAGTGGAAGAAGTCTAAATTAAAACTTTGTTGGGCAGGGGATGTAGCTTAGAAGGACTGTGCCTGCCGGACAAGTGCAAGGTTCTGGGTTTGATCTCTGGTATCAGGAAAAAAAAAATTAAAACTCTTTCAGCAGCTTAGCTATGGGTTGATATAATTTTTTAAAACGCTGTGGAATTCACAATATTTATGAGCTACACAATAATCTTCAATGGATGGGAACACACATGTGCAAGGACACATGGTGCAAGGCCTTCTTTCTACTGAGAGCGAGCCAGTTCCTCTAGAATTGATAGATTTGTACCACACAAGAGGGCTTACTCAGTGTCTTCTTCCTGTGGGCAGGTAACTGAACTCACTTCCTCTTCGCAAGACTGATCTTCATTCCTGGGTTCTGGTCTCACTTTCAGCTCAGGGCTTGTGTGAAGGGTACTAATCTTCTCAGTAGTTTTACGCACAAAGCTAGAAACACTGGAAATTAATTACCAAAAAGCATTTTTAAAAATCTGGTTACTGCCAAAAATAAAAAGCTAAGTACCTGAGTCTTCAATGTTTCTCTTAGTCCCAGGAAGTCAGCTTGGACTTAATGAAAAGAAAGGCTGTTTATAGCAAGACCTCTCATCACCTATATATTTCATAGAAGGCCCACAAAAAACTTACAATACGATTTGTTTCATTTGCTAATATGCCCTAAGACACCAATAATTCAGTGCTGAAGAGAAAGACTTTAACTTGAGCTGTGTCTCTGACGTTTCTGTCAGCTTAGGTAACATAATCCATGTGATCATCAGCCCCATCCTGGTCAGAAAATAACAAACAATTTCTTCATGAAACTTAGCTCCTCACTATTCACAATATAACCTTCCAGAAGAGCAAAAACTGTACCCAGTAAAACTCAGATAAGCAGTTAAGTAGCTGGATAAAGTCTTCTCAGACTCAGATGCCACTATTGGTCCTAAGGTACAGATAGAATCTGTTAATTCTCCATTCTGAACCCAAACTGTGAAGGGACTATTCAAATGCTCCTTCCAGGGTTCCAGAAAGAAAAAGCCAAGATTTAAATTTTCATTCTTTCTGGGAAAAAAGGGCCACATCTACAGCTCAAATACTCTGCTACCCCAAAGAGTAAATCCAGGCCAGGGATTTAGCTCAGGGGTGCTGCCACCTGCCTCACAAGAGGAAGGTCCCACGTTCGAACCCAGGGATTGAGTTCGGGTCCTTGCATTGGCGAGGCAGGTGGCAGCACCACTGACCCAAATCCCTGGCCCATGGTCTTTCCATTCTTACTACAAAGTCATATGACAACAGAAGTAAAATCAGAAATAAGATTAGTTGACAAGACCAATTGGTTTACCTGTCTTTGACAGCCTGAAGAGACACAAGAGGAGATGGAGAACGAAATGGTAATGGAATGCCGAAGGGGAGAAAAGTTTCATTCTTATCTGTCTCAAACATCACTGGAACATGAGAAACATTATCTAATGAATGGAATCAGGAGGAAAAAAAACAAAGTCTAATCACATGAAAGTTTTTTTAAACTTTAAAGGAATTCTGAAATGAATTAACCAAAGGAAATGAAGAATTCAAACCAAAATCACACTGACCTATATACAAATGAGCACAGAACACAGATTTACAAGATGCACACAATGGTTCACATAAAACACTTAGGCAGGTACCTTCATTGCCTACTAACCCTGAATCCCCATAAGTCAAAAAGGAAGTTTAAAGTCTCTAGTACTCTTCTTAATGGTTCAGTCACAGGAATAGTCGAACATTGTAAAGGGAAGGCAATGGCCCCCAAAACAGTAGCAATTTTTCATTCCTGATGGAAAATAATTTGGTTAGTGAAGATACTACTCTTTTGGTTAATAAGCTTTCTTGATCTCTTCAGATTTTAATACATGACCAAATGCAGGTGCTCTCTCAATGTTAGCGCAAATGTGAGGTCAAAAAATAAAATAAATAGGGACAGGGATTTAGCTCAGTGGTGCCACCACCTGCCTCACAAACGCAAGGTCCGGAGTTCGATCCCTAGGAACAAAAAATCCCAAAAAATTATGTGTAGCCTTTAATCCCAGAACTCAGGAGGCTAAAACAGGAGGATCGCTGTGATTTTGAGACCAGCCTGGGATACACAGTGAGTTCCAAGGGAGTCTGAACTATATAGTGAGACTCCGTCTCAAAACAAACAAACAAACAAACAAACAAAGCTAAATGTAAACTCACTCTTCTGTACTCATCAGGCCTAGATGGAAAGCTATCAACATGCTAAAAATTATTCACACCTTATAGAAACTCTAAGCCTAAGACAATCTTGGTAAGAAGAACGCAGAAAATAACTACCTAGTGTTAGCAACCAATAAGAGACATATTCATCACCTTCATTTCCCTGTGAGCCACAATCTGGATCTGGCTGGTCCTCTTCCGGATGTGAGGCGAATTCTTTAAGTCTCTCATCTTCCGAGAAGGTTTGGCTATGAAGGGAGCAGGAATCTTCATCTGACTGACTGCCCCTTCTACTACTAATGATACGATAAATACCAGAGTCCAAGACACTAAAACTTTCCTAAAAATGAAAAGAATACCAAAGAAAACAAAACAAAGTAAAATCTTCCTTTGCAACATAAGAGACCTTTACAGAGAAATACCAATACTAAGAAGCCAATAGAACAATTAAGTTGAGTGAAAAAAATATGTAGATGCCTGGCAGCTGATGTCTTGCCTGAATTAGTGGCATCATGTTGCATATTTCTTCAGCTCGTCTGCAAAAAGTGTGGCAGTCAGAATGGGGATTAAATGAGACACATCTGAGCTGCACTGAGATTCAGATTAGCATGAAGCATCTGAAACCACAAATTAGGAGCAGCCTAACTTGTGCTGGAGGTTATATGAGGTATATATTTTGGGGGGTTTTTTTGGTTTTTTTTTTTTTTTTTTTTTTGAGACAGGGTCTCACTATGTAGTTGAGACTGCCCTGGAACTCACTATGTAGCCCAGGCTGGTTTCAAACTCATAGAGATCCTATATGAGGTATATTTAGGAATAGAAAATAATAATGATAAAACAACAAAATGTGGCCTTGACACATTTTCATCCAGTTATCCAGAAGTTTCATCCAGTTATCCAGAAGTTGAAAGTCCCTCTACTATAGTTGAGATCTTAAGTGCCCCCTAAAGGCCCATATGTGCAGGGTTTGGTCCCCCACCTATGACACTACTGAGAGGGGGTGAAATCTATAGGAGGTGGGGTCTAGTGACAGTCAGGTCATTGGTTCCACCGCCTGCCTCACAAGCGCAAGGACCTGAGTTTGATCCCTGGTACCAAAAGGGAGGGGGCGTTATTGCTCTGTGCAAAGACCCTGGGTTCAATTCCTAGTGCTGGAAAAAAAAAACAAAAAACAAGAATACTTACATGTGATGAAATGGAGCTTCTTCTACTGCTGCAAGCTGAATCCAAAGGTTCAAATTTTAGTATCAATTCATCCAGTTGAGAAATTAGATCACTGTAAGTTTCAAGGTCCAGCTGAGATTTCAAATGCTCCAATTTATCTACAGTCAAAGTTTTTCTTGCCTAATAAAAGGATAAGTAAAATCTCAATGAAATAGTATAACGTTTGTAACTAAATCTATATACAAATAGGCAATATATGGAAAGATATCTAACATAGAAAATAAATGTTGCAGGTGCTTTTAAAAGACATGGGGCCAGGGATTTAGCTTAGTGGTGCCACCGCCTGTCTCGCAAGCACAAGGTCCCGAGTTCCATCCCCGGTACCAAAAAAACAAAAAAGAAAAAAAGTAAAGACATGGTAAGTTAGTGAAAGAATCAGAAATCAGAATTATCTAAAGGATGAAAGGATGAAGAATTTAAGAGTCACCATATATATAATCACCTCCCTTAAAAGCAAGTTCTGAAATTTAAATAAATTTGTGAATAAACTTACTATTTTTTAAAGAATGGAACAGGTGCCAGGGTTTTAGCTCAGTGGTACCACTGCCTGCCTTGCAAGCTCAAGGACCTGAGTTTGATCTCTGGTACAAAAATAAAAAGGAAAGTATATTTCCTTCCTTAACCTCCACCCTCTTCTAAATATCTGTTATGTTTTCTTTGAAGATTTACTGCTGTATCTATAGGTCATATACAAGAGCCAATAAAGATGGGGCCAGGGATGTAACTCAGTGGCGCTGTGCCTGCCTGGCAAGCACAAGGTCCTGAGTTTGATCCCCGGTACCAGAAAAAAAAAAAAAAAAAAACAAGAGCAAATAAAGATAAGCAACTCTGTATGACAGTCCTACAAGTTAGGATGGTATTACCAACCCATAATGAACATGTTCAGGTAAGCTCTGACTCACTTTGCTGGCAATGATGGAATTTTGGAAAAGACAGCATGTGCGAGCAGCCAGGACCCACAGATTCCTCTTTAGCAGACGTTCCACACAGCGCTCCACAGACAGCAGAGAAAAATGTGAGACTTTCCCATTCAGGTGTAAACAGAACAGCTCGTTCTTGTAGACAGCCACATCTTGAATGTCTACAAATCCACAGGGGTGAACACACAGAAAGTAAACCAAATACTCCTTTTCCATTTTTGCAAGGGCTGAAAGTATTCTAATAGACTCATTTTTAAATAAAGTTCAGACTGACTGAATTTCATATCTATTTCTACCCTATTTCTATACTTGTCTTTCAATGAAGAAATCATGTTTTAGGCACTATTCTTAAAATATCAGGAATAAAAGATATGGAAAAGAACCATATCTCTTTAGTTTGAAATGCTATTTTTGCTGGGGATTTAGCTCAGTGACACCACACCTGCATCACAAGCACAAGGTCCTGAGTTCAATCCCCGATGCTGAGAAAAAAAAAATGAAATGCTATTTTCCAGCTGGGCATGGTAGTGCACACCTGTAATTTCAGTACTTGTAGGCAGGAGGATCATAAGTTTGAGGACAGCCTGGGCTACATATGAGACCCTGTCTCAAAAAACAAACAAATAAACAAAATGCTATTTTCTGAAAAGAAATCTGACATGTAGAAAAAGATAATCTACATTACACATTAGATTACAACAATGTTACTGAGAGTTACAACTTGAAGCTCAATGAATGGATTTTAACTCAGTAGGTAAATCAATAAAACAATTCATGAGGAAATATCTGCCTTTGGCAAAACAGCTTAAAAAGACATAAACTAGTTTTCAAGGACCTTCTTATAGAATTTAATCCACAAGAAATCAATGTTGATCAGACCAGTAAGTAATGCTTTCTCTTCTGCTCTCTTTTTTTTTTTTTAACAAAGTACAGACTCAAAAAGCCATACACTTTGTACTTAGCAGCAAAGCTAAAAAAGCTACATTTTCTGCATTTCTGGTTTTAACCAAAAAATATAGGTTGATTTTTTATATCTTATTCGCATACAATGGCTATTTGCTCCCTGTATTTTCAACTTCTTCACAATTAAATTTCACAAATAATTATGAGATTAGAAATTATTTAAGAAAAATATAATTACCTTTGACTTCACTCCAAAGAAGAACTTGAACATTCTGAGGAATAAAAATATAAATTCCTTTTTCTGTCCAAGTCAGCACACAATGCTCACTGCAAGAGAAAATGTCAAAAGAACTCGAGCTTGCTAGGATATAGTTTATGACATAATTTTCTGAATTCAGATCCTCTCGTGAAAGCAAAATCAGACACAACAGTGATCACAACAGTGATCCAGCTAAGGGAGTCTTAAAAACTTACTCTTTGTCTATAACTGCCACCAAAAAAACAAATAAATCAATAAAAATAATAATGTCAAATGAGACAGATATTACTGTATCTTTTAGCAAAAGAAAAAGCTAGTATCTAGAAAAAGAAAGGCTTAGGGATGACTTGACATCTATTAAAGTAGTCAAGTTCCATATTTGATGTGACAGACTCACTTGAAGACTAACATCTTATAGCCAATCACTGTTCCATGGAGCCCCTTTTAGGAATGGTAATATTCTAACTTAGATTTGTGTAGTTTGAAAATACCTGGCCAACTATGTTCATGAGCTTTATTTTTTGTTGTTGTTGGTTTTTTGTTTTGGTTTGGTTTTTGTACTGGATATCAAACTTGGGACCTTGTGCTTGTGAGGCAGGCGGTGGAACCACTAAGCTAAATCCCCAGAAATGAGGTTTATTAAGAGTTCTATTATCAGGCCAGGGACTTAGATCAGTGGCACTGCATCTGCCTTGTAAGCACAAGGTCCTGAGTTTGATCCCCGGTACCAATAAACGAAAAAAGAGCCGGGCGTGGTGGCGCACGCCTGTAATCCCAGAAGCACTTGGGAGGCTGAGGCAGGAGGATCACTGTGAGTTCGAGACCAGCCTGGGCTACATAGTGAGTTCTAGATCTGTCTCAACTACATAGTGAGACCCTGTCTCAAAAAAGCAAATAAAAAAATTTTTTTTTAAAAAGAGTTCTATTATCTAACATTGTAGCTCGCCATTAAGGTGGAAATGCCAGTTATTTTATGAAAACTGAGATCAGTGAGATGAAATAATAAGACTAAAATCATTCAGCAGGAAGGCTAAAGAGTCAAAACTGCTAACAAGGATGGTCTAGCTCCAGAACCTGAACTTTTCTCTTTATATCTCACAGAATCTACTGCCTCCCTCTTTTAACCTCACTAATCTACCCAGTTATCTGGGATCACAATTATTCCACCTTACTGAATTCTCAAGTAAAAATATCCTCATTGCCAAACCCCACAACGTCATCATTTCTTATTTTCTTCCCACCCATCCTCCCTTTCTTCTTTTTCTTTCTTTTTGTAGCCCAGGCTGGTCTTCTCCTGCCTTAACCACTCCAGTGCTGGGATCACAGGCAGGTGTCACCATACCCAGCTTCATTTCCCACTTGCTTGACTCAGAAGCACAGGAGTGTTCATTCTTTCCTTCACTCCCCAGGTTCTGGGATCTCTATTTCCTTGGTTCTGCACCTGCCTTTCCAGTGTTATGGTATTCTACAACTCTGCTCCTCTCTCTCTGTACATTTACTCACACAGGCATGAGCGTATCTCATATACCTCATGCACTTCTCAAAGTTGCTATTATTTTTATATACCAATAATGAGCCCCTCTCTGTTCTTTTCTTCTTTCTTCCCGCCCACCTTCTCTTTCAGCACTGGGGACTGAACCCAAGGAGTCCTGAACTATGCCCCAGCCCTTTCTGCTACTGTATTCTGAGACAGAGTGCTGCTAAATTGCCCAGATTGACCTCAAACTTGCAATCCTCCTGGCTCGGCCTGAAAACCCTTCTTGTCAGGACTTCCCCAGCCTTCACAGGTCTCATTTTACTCACCTCTCAAAGATCAGCAGTTCTATTTCCCTCTGAAATTTTCCCCACAGCCCATAGCAACTGTGCCTCCTTCTGGATTCAACCTATTTCTTGTCAGCCCTGCTCATGTGGCACTTACCCATGTTTGGCTTTTTATTGTTAAACATTTTGCAGCAAGGGGATAAACCAAATGCCTCCGAACAATTATAATCTTGGGAACTGGGATCATTTTTTTATGTCCCCAATAATACTAAAAATAGCTCTATGTAGTTATGAAATTGATTTTTAATAGGATTTGAGCCCTCACATAAATATTAAATGTTTCTTCCACAAGAAGACCAAGAAATGGTCAGAATCCTAGTCCAAAGTAAAATTAAGAGTCAGGTGTGGTGGCGCACGCAGGAGGATCGCTGTGAGTTCGAAACCAGCCTTGACTACATAGTGAGTTCCAGGTCAGTCTCAACTATACAGTGAGACCCTGTCTCAAAAAACAGAATAAAAAAACAAAGTAAAATTAAGAAGGCTGCCTACAACAGGCAGAAGTGAAAAACCAAGAGGATCCCTGAGTAGAGAGATACGACATCATGAATTGATAATGAACTTGATATTCAGCTTGGAAAAGTCTTTAGGAATAGTAACATAAATTACGAAAGGGGTGAGGTAGATAAGAGCTGATACCTGTAATGTATACATTCCTCATCCCCTGTTCCTTCATTGATAATGGGGAAGAAAAAACTAGTAGCACTGTCTAAAAAGTTTTAAAAAAATGATACAAATATATCCAAAGAAAACAAAGTATAGTAGCGGCCTGGAATGTAGTTCAGTGGCAACAAGCCTACCACCCCTACAAGTGCAAGGTCCTGAGATCCACCCCCCACAACAAAAAAAAGAAAGCAAAGTATAGTATACAAGAATTCCCTCTTGTGAGACTGTACCACAGGACACAAATGGCCAAATGAGAGCCAGGCATGGTGGTGCATGCCTATAATCCTCTTAGGAGGCTGAGACACGAGGACTGCAATTTCAAGCCCAATCTGGACAACTTAGTGACTTAGAGAGACCCTGTCTCAAAACAGAAAATAAAAACAAAAGGACTGCAAATGTAGCTCAGTGTGAAGGCCCTGAGTTCCACTCCTCATACCATTTAAAAAAAAAAAAGTACAAATGGGGAAAAAAAAAGTAAACACTAAGAAAAGAAGCCTTCCTGTTCATGTTTTTATAACACATCTTCATCAAATTAGCTATTATTTGCTAGGCTTCCACGTGCTTAGTACTGTGGTGCTCGAATGGATAGTCATGATCCCATAAGACAGTGCCAATGATGGAGCTATGGGGGAAGTCTGGTAACAGGACATGGCACAAGTACCCAACTCAAACCTGCCGAAGAATTTAGCAAAAGCAAAGTGGCACTAATTACTGCTTACACTGAAGAGCAGGCAGAGCTCCTCAGAAAGCAATGTGAAAGACTATTTGCCATGGCAGGGACTGTTAACAGGAATTCTGAATAACTAAACCCTAAGGAATAACTCTACGAGAAGCACACAAATTCCTGAGAAAGAATATATTATTTAATATGTAACTGGGCCACAATACCACACTGTTACCCCGTATATCATGTAATAGTCAAAAAATGCTTTTGAGTTATCTATCACGTGCCAGGTACTAGGGCAAGCACTGAGAATATAGCTGAACAAAATAGCCAAGTAAAAAGCCCTCATGGGCCGAGGATTTAGCTCAGTTGCACCACACCTGCCTCACAAGTACAAGGTCCTCCTAAGTTCGATCCCTGAAGCTCATGGAGCCTGCTTAGGGGTAAAACGGGAACATTATATGAATAGGTAATTAGAAACTGTGATAAATGCCATAAAGGAAAATGCTAACAGAGGAAGATTTTTTAATATGCTTTACATAATTATGGGCAAATAAATAGCTGCTTTTCTCCAGTAACTTCCAGGATGAATTACAGATTTATTAAAGTGTTAAAATGTCTATAATTCACCTTTTTTTGGGGGTATGTATGTGGTACTGGAGATTGAATCCAGTGCCTCCACACTGAACTAGAGACTCAGTCCTTTTTTTTTAAGACATGGTCTCACTCAGTTGCCAAGTTGCCCAGGCTGGGTTTGAATTTGAAATCCTCCTGCCTAGCCCCCCAGAGTGCTGAGGTTACAGGCAGGTGCCACCAGACCTGGCTATAATTCACTTTTAAATACTTTGGTGTAAGTAATATAACACATTCATGAGTTGATTTTTATCTTTACCCTTGGGTGCAACCAGTTAATATGTCAACAATTTTTTAAATATTATATTCAAAGAGCAATTAGTCTTTGAAAAGCCTTATCAGAGGGCCAGGGATTTAGCTCAGTGGTTCCGCCGCCTGTATCAAAAAAAAAAAAAAAAAAAAAA